AGAGAAACAACATCATTCAGGGTTTCCATTGGTCCAGTTCCCAGTCAAGGAGATGCCTACACAGTGGGACTCCCCATCTCCAGTCAAAGAGGTTAAATCACGCTAAAACCTCACCTTCAACCAATTGCCAATACACCAGATACGGTCATCCAACAGACCACCAAGTTGGCCCATAGATTGAGAATCCTTTCCAAGTCCCAGGAGGAAGGAGTCCTAGGAACCCTGTAATACTCCTCACGACTCTTTTCTACAAGGCATTATTATAACTTTTGAAAATTTTCGTGTGCATTTTCAAAAGTATATATAAATTTTATTTTAATAAATTACTAACCTTATCATTTTTAGCTTTAAAAAAACTTTTAATAAATATTAATTTTTTTTATACAACATATTAAATATTTATTCTTACACTAAATAAAAATCGAATATCTCATAAAAAAGTTGTAACACTCGAAATTTTTTTTTTTGTAATTTAAAATTTTATCCTAAATGTAATAAAATAATTTTTCAATTTATTTTTATTTTTATTTTAATTTAGAGTAAAAAAATAAAAAAAAATTGATAGAGAATTTAATTGAAAATAATTTTGGAAAAAAATGTAAAATTTTGGGTTTTAGGGGTATTTTTAAAAGAAAATTTAGAAAACTGATGTCAAAACGTAATTTTGGAAAGTTTCGCTACGTCAGACGCTCAGTCAACATGCCTAGTGAATAAGGACGCGCCGCATGGCAGCGGACGCTGATTCGGTGCCACGCAGGAGGCCAAGCGGGCGATCCGCTTGCCCGTGATCGAACGACCCAGATCCGTTCCTGCGCGCAAGGACGATCCAGTTGCGTTTCCTCCCCACACGTGATCAGACGGTCAGATTTGAACGCGATCGAAAGGTCCAGAGTGGATCGTGATAGACGGTCCAGATTCACTCCCTATTTAATCGCGATCGGATAGTTCAGATTAAACGCGATGGACGGTCCAGATCAAAAGCGGACATATATAAATAACTCATATCCGCACTAAACCCTAATCTTAGCCGCCAGAACCCCTTGACAGAGAAGACAACCTAGCCGCCGGGGAGCCGACCGCCGCCACCCGCTGCCGCACCAGAACACTTTCCGATCGCCAAAAAAGATAAAAACTTTTTTTTTTGTACGAAATTCAATTTTAAGCTCACTCATGGCCAAATTAGAGCAAAAAAACTGCCAATTGGTCGGAAAACATTGACGAAGCCCAGCGGCATCGCCGCAGGGAATTTTACAAAATGCTTCTGATGAGTCCCTTCCCGATTCCTGTTTCGCGTAATTTTTCCACTATTGTGATCACTGTTTTCTTCTCTACAGGTTGATCAAAGCAAAATACCTAACCACAATGTGAGCCGGAGGAGCCGCCGCACTGGAGGGTCCCACAGCCGGTGAGTTTCGATTTTTCGTATTTTTTGGGCCAACCGAGATATTTTAATATATTTTTTCGTAGGGATCGATGCGAAATCAGACGAATTCGGCCAAAAATGACCGAAAACAGCCGACCCGAGGCGGACCGCCGCTGTGGGCGGCAGAGTTGTCGTCGGAGCACGGCGAAGCCGCCATGCCGGAATTCTGAAATTAGTTAAGTGGGCCCCAAGACTGATTTTGGGTTCGTTTGGGATATTTGTAGTTATTATTAGCGCGTTTTAATTTCCGAAGAAAAATTTATGGAACTTAAAGATCGCCCGTAGACGCAGTAAACAGTTTAGTTTTTCGAGCGTCAATCGAGTAAAGGATCCCTCATTCTATTCCCTATCATAGAATTGAAGTCTAAAGTAATAATAATATAGTATTTGTGCGGATTAAATAAATGCGTATAATTAATTACGGATTGCTAATGGAGTCCGAATTAGAAATTATTCTCTGTTGATTTATTTTACAGTCTAAAAGCATGATGATATCTGATTTATCACTTTTATGATTTGAATGCATGAATTGTTGTCTTACGTGACTATTGTTTGATTGAAAAATTGAGATATGATTACATTCCTTGATGCATGTTTATTTGTTTATGTGGTCATGGTTGATTTGAAAAATAGAGACTAAAGAAAAACAAGAAAGTTGTGTGATTAAATAAATATATGAAATGATAGCTTTACTAGATATCTTGGAAGATGTTGGATGAACTGGGTATGTAGGGAGCCGTACCGTGAACATTGTCTCATACCAAACGAAGTATTGAGGTTTAATAATTTGGTGCTCATACCGGAGGGGATATGAGCACGGCCCGTAATTGAGATTGTTAAAGAAAAGGGGTCATGTGTAGCGGAGATATCCCTATGAACCCCCATGCATACTAATAGACTGGTGAAAAAATGACAGTTATTGTTTTGTTATTTGACTATGTGTATAGATTTATGATATGTACTATATTGTTATTCTGACTGATTGTATATGAAACTATGATATTTGTTATGTTATTAACTTTGTAGGTTATTTTTGAAAATCTCGTTACGGTAAGTGAACGGTAAATGATTTTATTTTTAATAAATGTATTAGTTTAAATTAAGTGCTTAATTAGTATTTTGTTTTATACTCACTTTTAGTTCTGTGTCGGTGATATAGTGTGATATCTTTATTGTGGTAGTGTAACTCATTCCTTATTTAACCATTTCAGATCAAGAGAATCAGATTTCAGAGTCCGATCCATAAAAAGATTGCGAGTAGATGCTAGATATTTTTTCTTTTTTGTTTACTTCCTTATTTCTTTTGTTTCTTTTAAAATGGTGAATTTTGTAATGTTGTTTAGTACTTTTAAGTTATTGTGTAATAAATGTAAATTTTAACCCTTTTATTTCGCTTCCGCACTTAAATTATTAAGTGGTTATAAAAGTGCCACTTAATCCAAAATTCAAGTGTAAATGAATATTAAATTACTAAAACATTCATTTACTAACTACGAATATAAAGGAGAATCCCTTTAACACATACACAGAGGCTAATGGGGTTCATATGACATAAATACATGTGTATATATATATATATATATATATATATATATATTTACGTATATATATGTGTTTATATATAAATTTTCACCACCAAGAAAATCACAAGAAAAATGGGAGAGCAACAACTTCATATATGCATTAATATTATATATATATATATATATATATATATGTTTATTTACTACAGTGATGTATAATATTGGATACACCTAACACTACCAAGCAAATTAATAACTTTCACATGTATGCAGATAAGAAATTTTTTCGGGTCCTCTATCTTTAGCAAATAGTGAATCAACTAGATACATCTTCAAAATTCATTCGGCACCCGGATAAACAGATGGAGTAAAAAAAAAAAATTACCATTAAAATAAAATTAACTACAGATTAAGCTAATACTTAGTTTTAATTAGAAAAGAAGTTTCTGGATAAAAATATAATATAATAATTTTTCAAAAGCACATACCATATTAAATAATTGATAGGGAGATGGAAGTTATAATTTCGAAAGTAATGTCTAACTACTTCAAAACATTTCGAAATACAAAGATATATCTGAGACATCTCCATTTGTATTCATATCTATATCTATATGAATACCAAATATAATTATATCAACAGTATGCGTAATTATGTATATATATATATATATATACACTCAGAAATGGTAATTATATTAACATATTTTTAATTAAGCAGATCTAATCAAAATCATTAATTCGATAATACCCAATGATAATCTAGTACCGACGCCCCCAATCACTCTTCTGCTCTATGTGGGATTTAATTTTCTCAGAAGTCAGGACTACGAGTAAATTAATACATACATACATACATATATACGTAGCAGCTTTACATATAACAGGAGTCCAATTAATTTGTTAAATGTGGGAAGTGTATGTTTTGATGTGCAAATTAAATATTATAGATATATAGACGGTCTCAAAAAGTATATACGACTATATACATATACATACATGAAAAATGATTGATCAAGGAGAAAGATGAACAAGAGAAGCTCTACAAAGAGGGCAGGTACCGTGAGTAGTCAGCCATAAATCCACGCAGTGTGAGTGATAGGCATGGCTACATTCAGGCAACACCTTCAACTTCTCCTCATCTTCAAACTCACCCAGGCATATACAGCACTCTTCTTCTTCAACCAATCCAACATCCTTTCTGCACATCTCCACGGAAACAGACTTGTGTAAAACTACCGGCAAGCTTCTGATGGTGTCTGGGTCCAGCCCAACTGGCCTCAGTGCCGGCGAAACAGCACGCCGGCGTCGGCGACGTGTGCAAATCCAGTGGGCGTAGAGGAAGACGGTGGTTAAGATGAGGATGAGAGAGAAGAAGGTTATCAGGAGGACCAAGGCTTGGCCGTACAAGTGACTATCCGCGCTCATCATGCCGCCGGCTAATTTAGGGAAGTGCCAGTGAAGGACATGGGTCGGATCATATATTTCTTCTGAATCAGAAGACGCCATCTTTGATATGTTAAACAAAAAAGACAATATGTTTCTAAGTTATCTTAGATGGGTTTTTTTTTTCTTTGTACCTTTTCAAGGTTTTATATGTGTATATATAGGGTGAAGAGTAGATATATACATATATATATATATAGTACTGGGTTTAATTTAAACTGCCAGGTTTGATGTTTTTCGTATGAAATTTGCAGGTTTGATGTCGAGAGTTGAAATGATTTTAAATTTAATTAATTAGTACAATATTGGAGGAGGCCTTGCTTTGAGGTTGTCGAGGGAATTTGCTACCGTCATTTATGTCCGTATGAATTATATGAGAGTTTGTAAATAAAACAAAGATAAAAATTTGAAAAATGTAGAAAAACAAAATCATAAATTTAGTACTATGATAATTTTCTAATTTACCAATATTAAATTTTGGAGTTATAAGGAGTTTTTTTTTTTTTTTTTTTTTTTTTTTTGAGTGTACTAAAATCTCACAATCTAAATATTTGTTATATATATATTAAAAATCATAAATTGGAATCAAAATTTTACTTTTGTGAGTGTTCTCTTTTAAAGGCTATTTTTATTGCATTACTATATATGTATTACAAAGTTAAAAATATAAAAAGTTACTTAAAAATTATTCGTTCTAAGTTTGACAACACAAAAGTAAAATGTTTGTTTAATTTTTGAAATAACTTTAATAATGTAGAAAACGAACACTATAATTTTAATTTTTTAATTCTCTAATTTATTATTTAATTATTGCCCTTGATATCTTCTTAAATTAAAAAAATATATATACATATAATACATCTTCATTAATTTTTAGTAAAATCACTTTAATTCTTTATAAACAACCCTTTCATTTAAACATATAATTCTTATTTTTTTGAAGTAAAAATTTATATACTTTAATTTAAAAAATAACATAATGCTCCATGTGCATGTATTTTCGGTAATCTCCAACTACAATTTTTGCTTGCTTTGAAATTGCATAAAATGAGAAAACACATACTACATAAGAAATGTCTTTTCAAAATTTTATTTAACGACCTTAGTTTCATATTAATGAAAAATCTTTTGACATACATTTAAAATTTCACATAACATAAAGGCATGCGATTGAGTTTTTTGTGATGATTCAAATAGGGTTCTTCAAAAAAAAAAATTTAAAGGATAAATACATATATGATATATACACACACAGCAGGGGCGATAAGTATATATGGAGTCAAGTTAAATGTGGTGGGTACATTGTCAATTTTGGCTACACGATGAAATGGTTAGTTGAAGAGAAGAAATTGAATTAAATTAAATTACCAAGGTCATTGTTTCAATGTGGTCACGCACTCTCAATCCACCCTTTAAAATAAATTTGTCCACCTAAATTGTACCTATGCATATTTTTGGCACATCAGGATTGCCAAATCGCTACTCACCCTATAAAAATACAACTCTTAAAGTTTTAGGTTCTTTATTTCATAATTTTTATAAATTAAAAAAAAATTGAAATAAATCCATAAGATTATGAAATATGTAGAGAAAAAATTATATATATATATATATATATACGGATCATGATGGGCATGCCCATAACCGCAATAAATTAACTCATTATGTAACTTCTCATCTACCTTAATTAATTTGAAGATTTATTATTTTTTGGTGGGATATTTCTTACTTCTTTCTTTTAGAGATGATAAGTTATAATTTCAAGTAAGTTTATAATCCTCTGTTTCTTCTTAGAATATTGTATTATTAAAATATTATGTTATAATTAATTTGTATATATATGATAATTAAGGAAATATATAAATACCTACTCAAAAGAACTTAAAATTTAATCTATATAAAATAGTGATGTATATAAAAAATTGATTACCAACCCAAATTATAGAATTAAATTAGTGTAAATTGATGTTTTCAATTTTGGTCCAGTTTCAATTGACAATTTACCCATTTAGGCTCGGGATGACAAACTTATTTTAATAATAATTTTGAAAGATTGTTAATTTTAATTTATTTTAAATTTTTTAAAAATATGCATTTTGAATATATTTGAAAACAATTTTAAAATAGAGAGGTCAAACTGAAAATAAAAAATAATCTATTTGAAACGAAAATTTAAAAATTGGGGCCAAAGTATAAAAATAGAAAAAAGTGGCAACGTAGGATGGCCACGTCAGTAGCACGATCAGTCGTCATGCGCTGATCAGTATGCATGCCACATAGGAGGCCACGCAGGCAATCCACATCTCAATCGATCCAATAGCTCGGATTCACTCCCGTGCGCACAAGCAGCGCAGATCTGTTCTCCCATTAGGCACAATCGAACAGTCCACATGCCTTCAGTCGAATGGCTCTGATTTACTTCCCAAATATGTGAGATCTGACGTGGAGATCGGTCCACGCAAACCCAAATGAACAATCCGAATCGAGAGAAGATGAGTATTTAAACTCATCTTCCATTGAAACCCTAACCTTAACCGCACCCAGTTCGTCGGAGAAAAAGAAGAAGACCGGCCGGAAGAGAAACCATCCATCGTCGTTGTCGCACCGAAGACCCAAATCGATGCCGATAAGTGAATTTTTCTCCTGTTCGTTTCATTTTTCCATTCTAAACTATCCAAAATCCATACCAGTGCTGGAAAACATGAGGGAAAACCAGAAATGGAGGGCAGAGCTCTACGGAGCTGACGCACCTGAAACTAAAAAATCCATTCGGTGAGCTGGAATCCTTTTCTTGTTTTCTTCCGTTTCTCAACCCTAGGCTATCTAGCATGTTTTAAGTGCAGGGAAACAGAAGGAAGGCCGCGATCGCGAGGGAGAAGTTGCGAAGCCACCGCACCGAAAAACCAGAACTATTGTTAAGTTTTCAATTTTCTTCTTTTTTCCACCTACAAAGGCCTCCTAACCCTGAATTGCGCATGTTTTCACCCAGAACTAGCCGAAATCGGCCTGACCGATAGGAGGAGTCATTGTAGAAGGTGGAACCAACGACAAAACACGGTGGCGACGCCGTGCCGGAACCTTAAACTAGCTCCAGTGAGAATTTTGATCATTTTTTGCTTTTTTTGTGTGCATTTCCATGATTTTGACGTATGTTTTGGCTTTGGCAAAAAAACCCAAGAAATTTAGGAACCGAAAACTATCAGAAAGCATAGTAGAAAATATTCCAGACACTGATCCGAGATAAGAATCCCTTACCTTTTCTCCCATCACGATTAAATTAAAATTAAATTAATAAAAAATAAAAAATTACAAGTGTTGGCGACTCATGATTAATTAAATATAGTTATCGATGGAGATAGTAACTTGTCAGTGTATAAATGACCCAGCCTATCTATGTAACATATTTGTATATATTCCTTTATTGTCTGCTGTTACTTCGTGTACTTAATTTATTAATTCTAATTATTATTTTTATTTATTTAGTTTACTCAAACCATTTTTATCTTTATTCCATCGATTCAGTTTGAAAAAAATGTCTTAATTATGTTTTCTTGAATCATTGGGTCTTAATTTATATCGCCTATTAAATAATCGTTTTATTTTCATGTAATTATAAAATGTGAGTGTTGCATGCAAGGGCATTTGGTGGCTAGATGGTAATGGAAACTTGTATGTGTATGCAATATCGTTAAAATTAAAGGGGCTTACAGGGTGTCATGAAAAAAAGTGTACGGACCTGGTACGTAAGGTAAACTTTACTGTGAATGTTATCTTCAATCGGACGGGGCTGAGAAATCTCATAGTAGGAGGGGTTGGGAATTGTTTGATCACACTTGTTATCAGACGGGGTATTGAGCTGATGTTATGCTTGAAGCTTATTACCGAACGGAGTATGGAGACGGTCGGGTTGATTCATTAAATAGATATTTGGTTCATTTGTAGTGGGAACTCCTATAAACTCACAGCAACATGGTAAGTGAGTAAAAAAGTAAAAAATATTACTGTTAGTATATAACAACCCATAACATAAAAGAAAATAAATTATAAATTGAATACGGAAAGGAAATAACAACGTTAGGGTTTACATTCCTTACACAATAATTCAAGATACCTAATAGGGCTATCGGAATGACCATTCTAAAAGAATAATAAAAAATCAAAAAAATAAATAGAAATTAAACAATTGGACATTCTATTCGCAACCTTCTTATGGATCGGGATTTGAATCTTGTTCCTCTTGATCTGAAATGGTTAATAAAAGAGTAAGCTAAATAGCTCAGTAAGAATGTCACACTACTCAGCGGTAAAGAAATAAAGGTTGGTAAAAAACATGAAAATAACTAATAGAGTTTTTAATTTAAGTAAAATCATTTATCATAAGTAAAATCATTCATTGTACACTTACCGTAATGAAAATTTCAAAACTAATCTATAGAGTCAATAGCACAAACAATATCATAAGTTTATATTCAATTAACTAGAATAACAACTTTCCTTTTTATTTGCCTACTAGTATCCATGGGGATCCATAGGGATGTCCCTACTACGCGTGAACTCTTATTCAACATTGTCAACTAACCGGCCATCTTAATACCTCATCCAGTATGAGCGCCAAAAATACAATCCCTCAATACCCCGTTTGGTATGAGGTAAAACGAGTCGTCCCCATATCCCGTCCGTTATGAGCGCCAAAATACCAATTCTCGATACCCTGTCCGATATGAGGCAACGTTTACGGTATGATTTCCTATACACCCGGTTTGTCCACCATCTCCTAGTATATCCAGTAAAGCTACCATTCATTCATTCACTTAATTAAACAATTTTTCGTTTACATTTAATTTTCAGTTTCATAATTTAACTGTAAATTATGCAAAACAAGCAATACATGCATCAAGAAAACACAATTGAATCATCTTATTAACTCCAGCGTGGCCTCCCACGTGGCACTGCCTCAGCGTGCCTTGCCATGCGGCTCGCTTCAGTTCGTCGGGACTGCTGACTAGGCGGTCTTACGTGGTAAATTTTTCTAAAATTATGTTTTGACCCCTCAGTTTTTTATTTTTCTTTCAAAAACACTATCAGAACCTAAATTTTCACCCCTTTTTTCCAAAATTATTTTCAATTTCATCATCCACCTATTTTTTCTAATTTTTATATTATATAAAAATTTATAAATTTAAAAATTATATTTTATACATTAATTTTAAATATTTTAAAATTAATTCCGGGTATTGCATAGTATTTGAGAATGTATAATGTGAATTACTATTTTACTCATTTCATTCATGGCCAACTTCTGAGAACCGAAAAGTAAGTGAGGAATTAATGTTTTTAGTAAAATAAATTTACTTAAAAACGAAAAATAAGATTCTTTGGTTGTTTTATGATTTCTACAAATTTTTAATTTTTTGTATCGGTGGTAAAGAGTTGATATTCTTACCGAGTTAGTGCAGCTCACTCTTTTATTATTAAAAATTTCAAATCAGGAAAATCAAAATCCAGATCTTGAACAACAAATAGAATTAGCAAAATGGTCGTTTGTCATTGTTTCAGTTGCGCAGTGGAAGTCGATTACATAGATTTTTCGAATTATACTTTTTTTCATTTAATTTTCTTAAGGGACATTTTCGTAATTTTATTGGGCATTTTAATTAAACTGTGTAAGAAATGTATCCCTAAATTATAAACTGTTTTTGTAAACTAATAAATTTTAATATTATTTATTTAATTATTTTTGGGTATTTACAGAATTAAATGAAACCAAACTATTAACCAATCATATAAAAAATATATTTTACTATACGTTAAATATAGCATATTTATTTATTACCCATAAATTAATATATCATATATATAGTATCTAAACATAAAAAATTGATTTCCAACCCAAATTATATAATTAAATTACTATAAATTGATGTTTTGGCTTCTGGTTCAATTTCAATTGAGAATTTTTTTTTTTTTTTAAAAACAGAATTAAATGAGCCAGACCGTTAACCAATCATATCAAAAATATTTTTTCTTATATGCTAATATAGCATCTTCATTTATTAACCATAAATTAGTATATCATATATATATATATATATATATATATTTAAACATAATACATAATACATAATATATTGAAGAGAGTTTTAAATTTAAAGTTAAAAGTCACTAAAAAATATTAAAGCTAAAACATTTAAATTGTAATTATACAGTTTTATAAAGTAAATTCTTTTGTGCAATATTTTCAAAAATTTATTGCAGAAAGCAATTTTGACCAAATTGAAATTCAATATGGAGCAATTGTTGTATTTTTTAATGTTACTTACATTGTCTATATAAGTTATTACATATTTCATAGTTCTTAGGGAACTTGTAATTTTATGATTTATTAATTATATTTTTCATTCTTACTTAAATTGAATGCAATTAACAACTTTAAGCAGTGGGTTGAACTAAATAAAATTAGACGTTTGAATTGTGTGATGTTTGTTAGAGAATTTAACACGAGTACTTAAATTAAATGCAACTGACAACTTTCAACACTAAATTTTTGAATTTAATAAAAGATTAGATATTATTTAACTGCACATTTGTCCTTAGATTGCCACTTGGCAAATGAAAACAAAAATCCTTAAACGTGGAAAGAAAGACGCTCCCAAACAGGGATCGGCTCATAAAACTCACACCGTAAACAACTGATCTATAAGAATAGTTTATTGGCGATAAAGCATATGATAAAAAGGAAGGAGATCCACAGTGTTACAAAAAAAAAAAAAAAAAAAAAAAAGTTATATAATTGGACACAATGAACAATTATCAACACTATAAATGTTGAATTTATAATTATATATTTTAAAAACAAAATCACGATATAAAAGTTGAATAAAATATCTATAAATTTTAAAGAAACATGACTTTGTGAGGGAGTGTTTATTTATTTATCACGTGAATTTGTATGCGTTTTCAAAAATAATTTGATAGTAATACATTAGAATTCAATATAATATTTATTTACTATGCTTGAACTTTTGAAAAGTTTTAAACTTTATAATAAGAATGTTTGTTGTGAATAACTCAAAACTTCCTATTATAATATAAATTTTAAAATATAAAATCTAAATAGTGAAAGTTCAAATGGACCCTTTTTTTTAATGGTTAATGGTAATTAAAGCATATTTTACTTTTAAAAAAAAATTATAAAGTACGTGCCAAAAGTACTTTTAGAAAAAGAAAAGACTTTTAGGATCGATTTTATTTTCTCCAACTTTTAGCAGTTACCTTTCAACTGATTTAATCATAATTTTCTTATTAATTAATTCCAGAAACATGTTTAAATTAAACACAGCAAATAATATTCTTTTAACCACATAATTTAGCAAACAAGTTACAGCTTTTTATGTCTAATAACTAAAGAGCATAAGACTTTAATTAACACTAGAAACTGCCCACAAAAAAATAATGATATATCAATTATTCCCCATGAGGATTTAATGTTAATGCTGCATACCTTGGCAGAGTAGTAGATTATCAATTAAATAAAATGTCAGACTTCTTTACATACATAAATGCTCCCGGCGAGGCTCGAACTCGCGACCTTCGGCTCATAAGACCAACGCTCTAACCAACTGAGCTACGGGAGCTGGTTGACAAATTATTATTTACGATACGAGTCCATCGGCCAAAGAAATTCTTAAATATTTTCTTGTACCGAATCTCCAATAATCAGCTTTCATGAGTAGAAGAAGCCAACTAGTCATATAAGGAACAGAACAATGCAGTGCAAATTTCAGAGAGCACGACATGCATAAGCTCGCTCAGACTTGATCGTAATCATCAAGTCCAATCAATCCAAGTAAGATGCTAGTATACGAGTCACTTTGTTCTAGTTGCTTGGTCAGTGGTAAATTGTTACAGAAATCAATCACCAAAAACACAGGATTATAGTGGGTTCTACGTGTATATTTCTAAGCAGTAATACTCTTTAAGTAGTGGGCTCTGCGTGTATTTTCTAAGCATAATGTTTCTAAGCAATAATATGATAAAAGTAGTGGGTTCTACGTGTGTAACTTCAACATAATATTTCTAAGCACTACCTGCAAAAAAGGGCTCCCAGTTTTTTTCCAGAAAGACAGCACTAACGCCAGAAAACACCTCACTTTTCTGTCTTTATTGCTCTAGCTTTTTCATCTATGCTTACGTGAGACATTGGAGATGCCATGGAAAGTTAAGCCCAACATTGAAGGGTGTGTATATATGCGCTTTCTCATTCACAAGCTTATAATCAAGACCAATAATTTACATGATGCACAAGCAGAGACAAGAATTTACCATCAAAATTGTCGGAAATTTAGATAAAGAAAAAGAAGAGGATGTTCTGCGTGTGCGTACATACCCATTAGATCACATACACATCCTTGTGATAGAACATAAATTAATTTTCATGATTTTAATTTACATATTTCATACATATATGACAGTAGCATACAATCTGAACGGAGTAATTTCAATGATTTATTATAAGAAGACACAAATTCAAGCCCAAATGGCAAGGATAGACATTGAGGCAGACCCCAGAAGGAGAGCAATGAAACATGCTTTCTTCAACCAAATATGAGAACCCGTCATCATCTTGTTATGGAAAAAATCCATGGCTATGAGATCTACAAGAGCCATGTATATTAGTATACCTGATGATAATGAGCCTAATAAGCCTTCCATGATCAAAGCATTTGGGCTACTGTCGTCGTAACCAGTCGCCGCGAAAACTATCATGCCTAAAACAATCCCCATTGGAGTCGTCACAGCAAACATGAAGCACATGTATGCCACTGTTCCAATACTAAACCCAGCCTGCAATTGCAATGTAAATAACAAATTCAGAAACGCCTTATTATACATAAATAACCTATATATTACAAAAACATAGTATAAGATTAGGTGATTTTTGGTATTAACTACATCTACATACAAATATGCTCCTCAATATGGATGTCCGCTAAAGAGGTAATCGTGGTCTTGCAAACATTGTCAGATTGTAGAACAAGATTCATATTTCAGATTTATCTTTTACATGTACAAAACATATAAATTATGTTGTAATTATATACTTCAGGATCAATATAAAAATTACAAGAAATAATGGAAAATAGAATAGGAATTTACCCATATTAAACATGCATTTAACTTTACCTATTAATACTCTTAACTAATTTACACCGACAACATTGCAATTGTCAAGGTTTAGCTCTGAATTTTTCATCTAGAAATACTAATACTTTTCCAAATAATTACAATTAACCAATTAAAAATTAATAATCATAATAAATGATGCGAGCTCAACCATAATTTTAACTTTCTACCCTTATATTTCTTGAACCTGATAGATAATTGTGGTAAGATTTTTCCTATAATACATCAAAGTATCTGCTTTCGTTTTTCTTCAAATCTTATCATCTATTTAGTGTGACCATCACACATCTCTGCTATTGGTTGTAAAAAATTCACAGGCCACGCCTAATAACCTTGTGAAAGACGAATTCAAATTAAGCATGCCTAAATCTCGAGTTACGTTGCGGTTTGGCCATGTAAGTACATGCCTAGACGTCACTCTGAAAAATCAACGCTAGAAACCAGCAGCGAACCTCAAAGGTCGATATCACACTTTAATTCCGCCATTGTTAACAAAGTCCAAGTCAATCAGTCAACAAAACCTATTCATGTAGTAATGATTCACCAGTACGATTCCGATAAAATTTAAACCACTAGCCGGTGGGGATGCAATAATACCACCTTCAATAGTCCGCAGTACCATCTAATCAAATCCCACTAACGACAAAAATTTAATCAAATTTTCAAAAATTGGGAGAGCAAAATTACCTGAGCAATGCAGCCACCGAGGCCCATACCCTCGAAGATCTGGTGGAAGGAGAGGGCGGCCACCAGCGGCCGAATGGTGCACCGGTTCTGCGACATGCCCATAGTCACGCCGATTATCACGGAGTGAAAAATAATTCCTATCTCTAGAACCTTGGAGATTAACTTCTGCTTTATTTTCAATAACTCCTCTCCGTTTTCCACTTTTTCCACGTCCATCACTTTCTTTCCCGATAATTCCTCCTGTGTCCCTACACGCAGGTACTGCTCCTCTCTCGCCGGACCGTGGCCGTGGCCGTGCTCCGCGTGCGCACTGGCCGCGATGTCCACGAAGAGCGCCATCACCGCGCCGAAGAGTGTAACGAGGCCGGCGAAGGGGAAGTCCCGCCAGGGATGACGGGAGGCAATTTGGCAGTCGGCGAGTGAAGCGAACGCGTCCGGGAGGACGTGGACTAGGGAGGTGGAGAGTATGACTCCGGCGGCAAAGCACTTAATTAGGAGGATAGCCTTGTCGTAGAGAGGTTTGCCTTGGAAGTAGCGCGCTAGGAGGACGGGAACCGAGATTCCAGCCACACTAGTGAAAAATATGACGAATACGGAGAGCAGCTTCAGCTGAGCGGCTGCATGGCCATCTCTGCAAGCCATAGATCGAGCAAGGTCGCCTTCGCACGCGGCCATCGCTCGCTCCTGAACCTCTACTCAGGAGTGAGAAAGAGAGTGCGGTTGCAAGGAACTGTGGAGTGCTGCGTTTTGGAGTTTCCGTGGTTGAGAGCAGGGGATTGTGCGGTGTCAAGTTTAACGATGCGGGA